TGGACGACGTGTTAATCTATTCGCACAACGAGGAGCAACATGTCAGAGACGTCCAGGAAGTGCTAAAGAGAATACAGAAGCACCAGTTGTGGGTCAAGCTGGAGAAGTGCAATTCCACGCCCGAGAGGTCGAGTTCCTGGGGTACAGTTGTCGGACAAGGGCCTAGCTATGGACCCCGGCAAGGTGCAGGCGCGTGCTGGAATGGAAGACTCCAAAACCTGGAAGGACGTGCAGAGGTTCCTAGGATTCAGCAACTTCTACCGGAAGTTCATCAAGAACTTCCCACTTAACCGCGCCCATCACAGATTGTCTCAGTAGCAAAAGGAAGTTCGTCTGGACAGAAGATGCACAGCAATCCTTTGAAAGGCTGAAGAAGGTGTTCACTTCGGAAGAGCAGCTCCTGCACGTAGATCTGCAGAAGCCAATGAGGCTGGAGACAGACGTGTCAGACCGAGCCGTCGGAGCGGTACTGCTACAGCCGGGACACCAGTCGAGCTGGAGACCGTGCGCCTTTTTCTCAAGGAAGCTGAGCAAGTCAGAGCAAAACTACACAGTGTATGACCGTGAACTGCTTGCGATTTATGCAGCATTTCGACGCTGGAGGCATTTGCTAATAGGGGCGCAGCACAAGATCCAGGTGTGTACGGACCATAAGAACCTGGAATACTGGAGGACTGCGTGGGTGCTCAACCAGAGACAGGTGCGATGGGCACGGAGTTCTCCAAGTTTTTCTTCGAGATTCGGTACGTGCCGGGAGAGGAAAACATAAGAGCAGATGCTCTCTCCCGGAAGCCGGAGTACATGGAAGGAGAGGGACCGCCAGAAGTCAGACACGTGATCCCGAGGACCAATGGATGTGTGGGGGAGTGTTGGTCGGGAGACGAGAACTAGCCGAACTTACGAGAGACGAGTTCGCTCAAACCAAAATCAGGGAACTCAGGGACGCAGGGGAAAACCATGGCGGTTTTGAGGAGAAGGAGGGGTACTGTATTACAAGGGAGCACTGTACGTACCGGGGGAGAACTTGTGGGGTAGGGTGCTCAAACAACTCCACGACAACCCGACGGCGGGCATTTTGGTCAAGACAAATCATGTTTGCTAGTCACCAGGCAGTTCTGGTGGCCAAGAGTGAGGGAAGGTGTACGGAATATGTACGGGGTGCGACCGCTGCCAGCGGGCAAAGGGGGGAGGGCTGCACCCGCAGGGTTACTGGAACTCTTACCCACGCCGGAAAGACCATGGGAGGTGGTGTCCATATATTTCATGACCGATTTGCCCAAGTCAAGGGGGAAAACGGCAGTCATGTGGTAGTTGATCTACTAACAAAAATGTGCCATTTCATCGCTTGCTTGCATGCGGTGACGGCAGAGGAAACAGCCAGGTTGTTTGTGGATCACATATTCAGGCTGCATGGCGCCCCCTTGAGGGTTTTATCCGACCGCGAGAAACAATTTCCTTCCTGGTTCTGGAGGAAGCTCATGAGCCTGCTGCAAGTCAGGTGAGCTTCTCGCGGCGAGACACCGGCGAGCAAGCGGAAGAGCGAACAGTATACTCCAACAATACCTACGCTGCTACATCAGCGAGAGGCAGAACGATTGGGTGGAGAAACTAGCGTTGGCCGAATTTGCATACAATAACGCTGAGCATGTGTCCACGGGAATGAGCCCGTTCATGGCTAATTATGGGTGTCACCCCAGGGCATTCCCGGGGGAGGGGAGGAAGGGTGGAGGAAGGCAGAGCAGTTTGTGGAAGAAATGGAGGCCCTACACCAGCAACTTAAGATGAACTTCTCGACGGCAAGACACCGGCGAGACAAGCGGAAAGAGCGAACAGTATACTCCAACAATACTACGCTGCTACAGTCAGCGAGAGGCAGAACGATTGGGTGGAGAAACTAGCGTTGGCCGAATTTGCATACAATAACGCTGAGCATGTGTCCACGGGAATGAGCCCATTCATGGCTAATTATGGGTGGTCACCCCAGGTTCCCGGGGAGAGGGGAGGAAGGGTGAGGAAGGCAGAGCAGTTTGTGGAAGAAATGGAGGCCCTACACCAGCAACTTAAGATGAACTTGGAACGGGCCAAGGAAACTTACAAGAGGCAGGCAGACAAGCACCGTAGGGAAGGGGAAACCATACGGGTTGGGGATCGAGTGTGGTTGTCAACCCAAGGTTACCTTTTAAGGGAGGGTGCAAGAAGTTGCGGCCAAAGCGACTAGGACCTTTTGAGGTAACACAGCAGGTGAACCCCGTGGCATTTAAGATCAAGTTGCCGGCCAGCATGAAATTACACCCGGTGTTCCATAGGTCTCTACTCTCACCATACAGGGAGGGATGGGAATTTCCGGGGCGGAGAGGGAGAAGTCCCCATACACCCGCAGGTGGAGGAGAGGGAACTTTGCAGTCAAGCCACGGAAATACTCTATTCAAGATGGCGAGGGTGCCAGGTGGATTACCTGGTGGCCTGGGAGGGTGAACCCAAGTCAGAAAACACATGGGTTCCCGCGGAGGCCATCAGGGATGAGTATCTGAGGGAGGAGTTTCCACGTCGTCCAAAAAGGTCACGCAGTTCTTGTACAGCAGGGGCCCCAACACGTGGTGCATGAAAGCTTGAAAACAGTCGGAGCCCGACTGTAATCCAAAAGGCATAACTAAGTACTCAAAGGCCCCCAAAGGGGTGAACATGGTGGTCTTCCATTCATCCCCCTCCCTCATCCTAATCAAATTGTATGCTCCCCGAAGGTCCAGCTTCGTAAAAAAAATTTCCCTGCCTTGCTCGTGTTAAAATGTCGTCAATCCTGGGCATTGGGAAGGTCACGGGTTCTGACACCAAATTGACGGCCCTATAGTCCACAACGAGCCTGGGCTGATTAGTGTCTTTCTTGTCCACAAAGAACACAGGGCTGCCCCCCACCGCCTTTGATTCTCTTATGAAACCTATTTTCAGGTTTTTATCAATAAAATTCCTTAACTCCTGCATTTCCCGGTCCGACATGGCATACAGCTTACCCATTGGCAGCTGAGCCCCTGGGATCAAGTTGATTTGGCAGTCAAAGGGCCTATGGGGGGGTAGTCTATCCGCTTCCTTCTCACTGAAGACCTCCTGCAGATCAGCGTATTGTGGTGGTACCTCCCCTTTCTGCTCCACAGCCATCCCAGCCACCCTGGCCACGGCCATTCTCGGGGTTCCCCACCTAGACAGTGTTCCAAGCAGTGTGCTGACCCAAAGGTGACTGTCCGCTGATGCCATGCCACTACTGGATCATGTAGCGCCAGCCAGCTCATTCCTAATAAGATTGGGGGTCCTGCCAGTGTGGCTACGTGAAAGGCAATGGTTTCTGTGTGTCTGGAAACCCTCATTCTCATGGGTGGAGTCTGGTGTGTCACTCCCCCCCCCCAGCAGTTCTCTTCCATCAATAGTGGTCACCTGCAAGGGAAAATCTAGGGGCAGTAGGTGGAGCTGGTGCTCTAGCGTGAAGTCTTTGCTGAAAAAATTGCAAGAACTGCCTGAATCCAGCAGCACCTTCCCCTTAACTGGGTGCCCGTTTGGGAGTTCTAGTACCACCTCTATGGCTATAGCTGCTTTGGGGGGGGGTCTGGCTGGGGCACTTTTAGTGGTTGCTGGCCTGGCTGCTGTGCCCCATGATTGGCAGCCAAGTGTTGGCATTTCCCTGCCCCTGCTCCTTTCCCCCCTCCTCCTCACTGCCAGCTGCTCCCACCATCCCTTGCCAAGCCTTTCTTTGAGGGCAGACCCTGGCAAAATGTCCTGGCTGTTGGCAGAGGAAACACTTCTTGGCTGTTTTCCCATCCCTTCCTTCCTTCTTGCGAACTTCGCTGGAGTTTGAAACCCCGCTCGCGCGTACGCCATCGATTTCCACTGGCTCCACTGGCTGGGAAGGCTGCCTCAGTATTTCAGGAATGCGGTTGTCATGCCAACGCTCTCCTCTCCCTTCCCGCTTCTCTTGGGCCCGCGCCTCTTGGCGTACACCAATCGCAAGCACAGCCTTGGTCAGCTGATCCATCGGTTGTGGGCGGGGCGCGCGGGAAAGCTCGTCCTTCACCGATGGGGCTAATCCTTCCTCAAACAACATTTGCACGGGTTCCGAGTCCAGATCCCACCCAAGTCTGTGGATAATCATCGCAAAACGTGACCAGTACTCTCTAACTGATTGGCTCCCCTGCTTGCAAGCCATCAGTTCCCGGCGAGTCACACTTTGCTCCACTTGACTGGAAAACATAGTATCCATGGCGCCAAAAAATTTCCTAAGGTCTTTTAAGGCAGCATTCTGTGTTGCCATTAAGGGCCTGATCCATTCCCTGGCCGCATCTTGAAGATGCCCTACAACATAAGCCACCCGCTCGCCATCGTCAGCAAAGTTATCATACTGCAGTTCCAAAGCGTACTGTACCTCCGTTCTGAACGCATTATAGTTTCGGGGGTTCCCCCCAAACTTGTGCACCAGTCCTGGTACCTTCCTTGCGATGGGGGTGGGCCTCCCCTGGGCATCCTGAGTCCGCCTTTCGTCCAGCCACGCCATCAACAGAGCAACCTGCCGTTCCAAATCTCGGTTTCTCTCCTCCAGATTTGGCACTGCTGCTGCTCCCTCCTGGGCGCCTGCTCCACCGGTTTGACTCATGGTGCTGCCTGTCTTGTCGTTGTGCACAAGCAACGTCAAGGACTCACGGATTGCTGTAATGGGAATTGGGGGTTGCTCGTGCGTAAGTTGCCGCCACTCTTGGCCAGGTTGCCTGGATAAACCTTTCCCTGGCTGGACAGCCCTGACGCTGCGGCTGTCTCAGTCACTGGCAGAATCCGTCAGTGGGTGTTTCCCGAACTTCTTCCAACATAAAAGTTCCTTGACGGATAGTCTCCGCCTAGCCTCCCTGCTCGGAAGTCTTCTGCGCAGGGTGGGTGTGGGCAGCGGAGGACCCGTGCTCTCCCCGCTGGTCTCTGGCGAAGAGTCCTGGAGCCATCTCTCCGAAGCCCGCCTCTGCCCGCCTTTCTCCCTGGTGTAACGCTGATTTCCTTCCCCGGCCGATGAGTCCCCTCTCTCCCTGCTGGGCCCTTCTCCGGCATCGCTTGGGAGCCTTTCCTCCAATCCTGGCTGCGATGGCAGTTCCCTGACATCGTGCTGGCCACATGACCCAGAACGCTGTCTATGGAGAAACACCGGCTCCCTTGGCCTGAAAGATTAGTGCCACAACATCATAGTCACCTTTGACTGGACTTAACCATCCAGGGGTCCTTTACCTTTACCTTTTTACCTATAGAGAGAAATGGTTGTTGAGGTATTGCGATCCTGAACAATTGAACAGACTTTGAATCGGAACTGGAAACTAATTGGCACTCTGTGCAATCAGGCCATATGCTCAAACCATCTTGCTCCACTGAGCAACCTGGCCACTGATTTCTGCACTAGCTGAAATTTCTGAACCATCTTCAGGCTGTCTTTCTTCTTTGTGGTCTCTAAACTTACAGCATGAGCAGCCTACATTCCTGTAATTTTGTGGATTCACATAGAGATTCCTCCACCCCATTCCATGGCAGCATTCTGATGCCACAATTAGACCTTAATTTGCAAAATCCATCTCTAGACATTATTAAATTGTTGCCTTTTCTTTTCCAATCTAGCTCCATCAATTTTTGAGAAGTGTCTCATTTAACAACAGTGCTGGGAACAGGATTTCTTTTGACCATAATTTGGAATTATTAGCAGAATTTGATGTTATCAATTGGATAGTTTCCTCAAATCAAACCTTTCACAGAGTGAAAATTGGGACTGTGGATCCTGACAGACCTTCAGACCGAGTCCTGACCATAAATGAAGATGCCATCACATGGCACAAGTGGTTTAATCAGGTAGGATCTGACTGTTGGCAGCTCTGGAGATCTCCCATTTTTGAATAGTATTGCCTCTCTGTGTGGAAGTGCAAAGCAAATTTCTGTGAACAATTGTGATCTCTCTTTTAACAATCGTGTTAGAAACTAGCCTTCTGTACTGCACAATAAATTTAAGCAAATTGGGTATCACCCAATCAGTTTTCCAAAATCTGTCAAATATTCGAGAAGTGAATGTGGATAAAAATAACAGAGTTGTTGTTGTTGTTGTTGTTGTTATCATAAAGTGTTATAGAAAACAATGAACTTGTAAAGGAAAAAATAATATGATGCATTGTAGTATATTGAATATTATGTTAAACAGAAGGTTCTTAATCCTATTTGTAAAATACATTGTGTTTTAAATAAATATAATTTGAATTCTGAAATACTGTTCAAGGGGCAGACAGGGGTAATTTATGCTTATGTTTACATGTATACCTTAATCAATATTACTTTTGTTATACAGTTTGGCATGAAAAATAAACAGCAACAAAATAAACAAATAATGTGTTATAAATATAGGCATAATACTACAAAATATACAAGCTTTGAATTGCAACTTGTAAGATCAGACCGATTCATACATGAATGAAATGCCTTCTTGCTATAGAGAGTCCTGGGGTGGAGGGACAGGGACTAAATATGGTTAATAATTTCAAACTATGTATTCTCATTAGGCACAGCCTCTTTCTGTCTGTACAGAGAGTTGCCATCCTGGTTTTAGGAAGAAAGGGAGGGAGTCGGAGTCATCTTGCTGCTATGATTGCATCCCTTGCCCAGAAGGAGAGATTTCCAACCAGGAGGGTATGAAATATATTATTTAGGTTTATCAAAAGAATGGGTGTCATTCAGAGGAGTATGCTTATAACCGTGAATGCTTCAAGGTTACTTTTTTGTTCTTTGAGTGATAGGTTTTGTTAAATGGTTTGGTGAATTGGATCTAAGAAGAGGCTGCTGCTTAGGGAGAATCTGGTCCATGTGGTATCATTTTGACCTGGTGATTGTAAAGAAATTAATTCAATTAAAATTGCAATGCATTTTTACTAGTGCTGTTCTGCCGATATCTAACTAAAGAACCAGCACTGAACATATATGAATTTGACTGCATGAAAGAAACATTTTTATGCATCGTCTTGAAATGTTATGGCGTATTTGTAAAATAAAGATCTTGGCTTTTCCATTTCAGACATGAATGACTGCATTAAATGTGCTGATGAAAAGTATCCAAGCAAAAATCAGGATTTATGTATTCCTAAGTCTGTAACCTATTTGTCATATGGGGGAGTGTTAGGACTTGGCTTAACCTGTTTTGCTCTAGCCTTTTCTTTCACCACTGCTCTGGTGCTAGCAATATTTATAAAACACCATGACACTCCCATCGTCAAAGCCAACAACCAGAACCTCACCTACACTCTCCTAATCTCTCTCCTGCTCTGCTTCCTTTGTGCACTGCTATTCATTGGGAAACCACAGAAGATTATGTGTCTCCTCCGACAAACTGCTTTTAGCATCATCTTCTCCGTGGCTGTTTCTTGTGTGTTGGCCAAAACTACCACAGTGGTCCTGGCTTTCATAGCCACCAAACCTGGATCTAGGATGAGAAAATGGGTAGGGAAGAGGCTAGCCAACTCCATTGTGCTTTTCTGCTCTATTATTCAAACTGGTATCTGTGCTGTGTGGTTGGCAACCTCTCCGCCCTTCCCAGAAGTAGACATGTACTCAGTGAGTAAAGAAGTTGTATTGGAATGTAATGAAGGGTCTGTGGCTATGTTTTACAGTGTCCTGGGCTACATGGGCTTCCTGGCAATTGCCAGCTTCACTGTGGCCTTTTTGGCCAGGAAGTTACCTGACAGTTTCAATGAAGCCAAGTTCATCACTTTCAGCATGTTGGTGTTTTGCAGTGTTTGGTTATCCTTTATTCCAGCTTATATGAGCTCTAAGGGCAAATACATGGTTGCTGTGGAGATCTTCGCTATCTTAGCCTCCAGTGGTGGTCTTCTGGGTTGCATCTATCTTCCAAAATGTTATCTTATTGTGTTGAGGCCTGAGCTGAACAACAGGGAACATTTAATAAGGAGAAAATTGTGAAGATTCTGATGGAGGGGAAAGTGGTGTCCATTGAGCTTTCAGCAGCTTTTCTTGAAATTCAGAAGCCCTTATATAGAGTTTGGAATCCTGTGCTCACCATAGATGGACAAATCTTTCATTTCCAGTTGTTTAACCTTCCCGTTTTTTGAAGGACAGCCATTCATATGTATATGTTCCATGTGATTCTTTCCAAATGCAATATTTCTTCTCAATCTCTGTGATTCTGTTCACTCATTAGTTATATTTTTGAAATAAAAACTTCATCGCTGGTGAGGGTTCTTATTTGCACTACAACAAAGCTGGAGTAAATTAGTTTCAAAGCACTATATCCCTAGTTTTTATTGTTCCAATCCCAATCAGGTTTCATGCAACATGTAGGAATTTAGAGGTGCTCTGCTGCATCTTTTCCCTGTTCGGTCAGATATCAGTAAATTCAGTAAACAGCACTAAAGAAAACGAAGCAGTACACTGCAATGTGTAAATGTGGGGTATAAGTTCTTTTTCACCCCACCACTGTTCTACCAAATCTATAGAAACCCATTTCCACCCCACCCCCGCCACCATATATTTTAACTTGAATGAATGAATGAATCTTTATTTGCCTCAGCCATCGGCCGTAGCAATAAAACAACAATACAATATACAGAGAATAGAAATACAAATAAAAAGTTGATTATATAAAATACATTTTAGGGTTTTGAATCAATAGTCAAGTAGCGGATCTTATTCTAATTGCCCCAGCTAAAAACCTTGCAACCTTTTCTGTCACCTGCTCATCTTGATCTGCCAAGAGAAAGGATAGTGTGGCAGTGGCTGGGCAACCCGGAATGGACAATAAAAAGGGGTGATAACCTCATTGCTCAAGTCTTTATAAAGAGTGCAAGCCAGAAGGACATGTGTCACTGATTCAGTACTGCCATCTCCACAGGGACATAAGTATTTTTCGTGTGGAAACTGTTGGAATCGTCCTTCAAGTACAGCCGAGGGCAATATATTCAATCTTGTGAGAGTAAAAGCGCATCTATGTTTTACAATTGCTAGGTTATGCAGATAGGGTGCCAGAGAGTCAAATGGGAAGGTGGAAAATAGTCATACCATGGGCAAAATTTCCTTATTGTGGCCAAGTTGTTCTAGTGCTTGATATCATTTAAAGGTAAAGGTACCCCTGCCCGTACGGGCCAGTCTTGACAGACTCTGGGGTTGTGTGCCCATCTCACTCAAGAGGCCGGGGGCCAGCGCTGTCCGCAGACACTTCCGGGTCACGTGGCCAGCGTGACAAAGCTGCATCTGGCGAGCCAGCGCAGCACACGGAACGCCGTTTACCTTCCCGCTGGTAAGCCGTCCCTATTTATCTACTTACACCCGGGGGTGCTTTCGAACTGCTAGGTTGGCAGGCGCTGGGACCAAGCAGCGGGAGCGCACCCCGCCGCGGGGATTCGAACCGCCGACCTTTCGATCGGCAAGCCCTAGGCCCTGAGGCTTTTACCCACAGTGCCACCCGCGTCCCTGATATCATTTAGGCACAGACAAATTAGACTGATTGCTTTACTAAAACCCAAAGTGAGTAGCTGTTGTGGTGATAAGCCACAAGAGTGAAGTTTTTGATACACAATTTTAGACCAGGCACTCTTGTGACAATCTTGCAGCACTAGGGATATTAGACCGGAGGGATTTGAGTTTAGGCAAAGCCAGTAGTTAAGTGTCCTGTGCCAGATCGGTAATTCTACCGAGGGAAGATTAGCCTCTAGGTGCAATGATGCATTTGGGGCACAGGGTGGTACTTGATACTAAAAAAAAATCTTTTAATCCACCAGTACCTGTGGTAATTTAAGTGTGGTTCCAAAAGAGCATAGACACCTCTTTTTGAAAGTGAATTAATCAAATATTTATTTCAATTTTACAAAACAATTATTTAAAAATGGATGGTTATGTTTAATGAAAAGGATGCAATGTAAAAACAACAACTCTCAATTCAGTTATTATGATTCAGAATGTTTAATAGGCTGCTGTTTCTTTAACAAAAAGGGGGATAGCTATGAGAGTTTCATTCCCCACAATTCAGATCCATAGCCAATTACACTGACTCAACTCCATTTAACACCGTGTTTACTAGGTCCTGATAACTGCACTTGCAAGTCTTCTCATAAAAAAAAAAACTTAATTTAAATATTTATTCTAATAAACATCATTTTGTATGCAGTTTTTACTAATATACTCATGGGGGGGGAATCCCCTAATTTCTTTTGTTATTTTTGCTAACATATGTATTTTTAAACCGCTTTCGGTTCATTCTATACAACAAAGTGTATAGGAAGAAGGGTTTCTTCCTGCAGGCTTCTTCTTCTGGAGGCTGATTTCTTGAAACCCTTTTTGATTCCCTGTATTCTAGATGTTCTTAACTCTTCTTTTTAATGTTTTCAAAAATTGTTTAACTGGAGGCCTTACTAAAACCTTAAGTAAAAGCATGGGCTGTTGGTGGTTGGGAGGCATTTGTCTGATGCCTTGCTATTTTCTTAATACCTAAATGCCATAGTATTCTACACAGTATAAGGAGTAGCTTAATAAAGTTAAATATCAATAAAAGAGCTGTTCAATTGAGGCAGCAAGGGTAAAAACAAGCTAACATCCAGCTGGTGGCAGCAGTGAAATTTGAAAGGCAGGGTTCTGTTGCCTCCATTCCCTCTGAGAGTACAGGCTGCATCCCAAACTACCCCAACTCCTGGTGTTGTGGAAAGTCCATTTTAATTATGCTTGCAGCTTACAATGGAAAAGCAATGACTGGGTCATGCTAGGAACAACCCATGTGGCTCATCGATCCCTATAGTTTTGAAAAGAAGGCTACTCCTATCATGAAAGAAGTTACTTTTGTCTCTAGCTCCAGAGCACAGCATTATTTCTGGTGTCATTTTTTTCTTGTATACCATTCCAAACACATTGTCAGATGTGACAAACATAATTTATTCAACAATTCCATTGGGAACCCCAAGAGTGGAACCCATGACCACCTCCCTCTTTAATTACTATCAAATGCCTAGTAATTCATTCTTCTTGTCCAGCTCCCTGTGGGATTCATGAGCCACAAACAAGATTTACAGCAAACACTGTTAAGCAAAGGCAACCAAGACTGTTATAAATATACCCAGCACCATGTGGGGCAGGGGAAAGGGACTGGGAGCAGAAACAGTCCTCCAGTGTGATCTCTAATAGTTTCTATTATTCACTCCAAGGCTCAAATAAAGAAGGCTGTTAGTCATCAAGACACTATATATAGTGTTGTAAAAGAAAATAGCAGAATTTCCGTGTAAAAAATAAAATTATCCTTGTAGTGAGGATGGTGGTTTTAGTGGTCTCCCTGCTGGCACTGCTTCCTCACAAGTTATGGAAATCTCATGCTGCTAAATGTAGGGTTTGTGGTCCACGTTACCCACAACACATGTACCATCAGTCAGGAGACCTCATCATTGGTGGCATTGCAACTCATGGTAGCTTTTTCGACAGTTCAATAGCTTTCACTGAAGACCCTCCACCAGCATTGCTTGAAGATTTCTTGTAAGCACTTATTCTTTATTTGTTTTAATCTCTTTGTATTTTGTCACTGAAATGAGCAGTGGTAGAACTACAGTCTATAAACAGTGGCTTCTTGTCTTAGATGTATAAAAAGGTAATACATTAATAGAATGCTGAAGTGGAAATCCCCCCCCCCCGGAGGATACATTTAAGCCTTCAGAAGCTATTTTATTTCTCTTCACTATATCTTTCATTGGCTGTGTTACCAAAATTTTGCTGTGATTTCTTTGTTCCATCATATCTCTCACTTCTTTCTATTCTCACACTTTTGTTCTGCTATCTTAGCATAGGGCATATTAGACTCATGTTATCAAGAAACCCTACTTTAAAGTGTATCCCTTAGTGTTTAATGCTCAGAAACATCATTCTGCACATGATTGTGCAGTGCAAGGGTTTATGGAAGCATGGCAGAAAAAGTGAACAATAACACTAGATAGTCTCATGAACAGAAGGTGTAAGTGTAAAAAAAGGGGAAGGGTAGCAGAGCCTACTTAATGTTGGTTCAAGGAAAAAAGTACAAAGAGGGAGAATTTCCTTTGATGCCAAGAGCCAAGTTTAAGGCAAGTACTATTTGGTGAGAGAACCTCAGAAGAGATTTTAATTCACAAAAGAGGCAGCAAAGTAAAGAGTGGAAATATAGGCTTTAATTGTTTAAGATACACCTTTCCAAGGGAGTTCCAAAATTGCCCTTTATAAAAGTTCCTTCCAAAGATTCCCTCTTCCCCAGCATAGGAAAAGACCACATGTGGAAAGGTGTTTTTTAAAAAATAAATAAATGCTTACTTAACAATCTCTCCACAGGTCAAATTAATGTGCTGTTGCATATATGAGTCAGAAATGCTGCACAGGGAGTAAGATGTGGCTTTATAACCAAATGATCAAAGTTTATAAATTATTGGTATAAGAACATGAAAATGGCTGGTGACAGCTGTGTGGCTGAGCTGGAGCAACCATCTCAGACGGCATTGCATGCTGAATTCTCAGGTAGACTGGGGGGAGGAACAAAGGCTTGATTACCTATTTCCTCCTCAGGCAAGGGGAAGTGACAAAGCTACTTACTCCCAAGGTAAGGGGAAGTGACTCATATGTTAGCTAGGAGAACAATCAGTTACTTATCAACTAGTCAAAGCTCAGAGACGGTCCTTCCTGTTTCTCTAAACCTTCAGTGGAATCTTCCAGTTAAACCCTTTCACCATTACACAGGCATTCCCATTTTCAGTGTGAATTAAACCAATTGTACTTACAAAGTGCTTCATCTATTGTTAGGCTCTCTGCTTTCTGTCCGAGCAGTCCCAATGGGCAGCACCTACCACTGCTCCTGGGAAACAGAAACAAACCACAGCTTGCTTTTGTATATGCAGGCTGGGCACAAAATCACAATTTGTCATCTCACAATTTGGCTCGAGGCGGTAATAAAATAATAATAATGAGGAAGAAGATTCAGAACATAGTGGTTTATTATTATTATTATTATTATTATTATTATTATTATTATGGTGTGGAATAGTTTGATACAGAATGCAACTTTCATTCTAGTGCAGTGCCAAAGAATTACCAACACATTCTGGCCCTGGGATTTGCAGTGAATGAGATAAATGAAGACCCTCTGATCCTACCCAATATCACCTTAGGCTTCAACATCTATGACAGCTATTTCAAGGCAAAGCAGACCTACTATTCTACAATGCTACTTT